TTCCCCTTATCTCGTTATTTTCGTTCGAGTATCGATGTAACTCGTTCACATGTTTGTCCGTATGTCCTCATCACTGGGTTGCACTCATATCAAATTGTCCTTCCAACTTAAAAACGCGAATGCAGCTATCAGTATATGCGCGACTATAGATTCACAACTTTAAACAGTCAAGAAGTTGTCATCAACCGCATTCCTGAGCGCAACCGCTTCGAACTAAAAGATAATCATCCGAAGAAGGTTGTTGCTTCGGTTGAAAAGGCGATTAGAGTGCATGTTGTGATGAAAGAAACACTCACGAGTTCAATCCCATAAACCGGCTGATCATCATATAATATGGATTAATGACAGTGCATCATTAATAATCGAATACGTTGTTCTGCATTCTAATGACATACATTTACGTTTAACAGTTTGCGATCGAATTCAGTTGTTACGTGTTCTCATTTCTAATTACATATTACATAACCAACAACGTAAATGTAACATCATGTTTTGTAGTGAAGCAATTTGTTGATGAATCAAGTTTTTGCTTGTATCATACACTGAATTCGTTTCTCCAATAGCTTCACCAATCAGTTCATTCGAAAAAAAATGCTTTTCAAGTCGTGTATGAACGCTATCTTGTGAATTTCGATTCTTTTGTTTCCGTTCAACGACCATGTCCCGTAATTCAAAAGGCAAAGATATTGAAAATCATCTTGCTTAGTCAAATAGTGCCCTGTGAGCGATGTGTAATTTATTTCATCTCGCATCAAATGCAATCATTGAGAGTTTATTGAATTTGTTTTCATCAGGGTTTGACCGATTAAGTTGACATGACCATGTTGAAGAGCCATAAAAAATTGCTTTAGGCTCGACTTCTAGCATGGTGTTATATTCCACGCAAAATTCCACCATTCTCCTCACGTCGACTACCTCGGGTTTGCCAACATTCTCACTCCTTCTTCTCCTTACCTATTATTGCTTCAATTATCTATTCCGTCGCTTCTTCTGTCTGTCTTTCAGCTTTTCTAAAATGACCACGTTACCGAGGATCGTTCGTTTCAGAACAAGCGCACATTATGATAGTGAAGTTTGAATTGTGAAAACATGAAAATTCCTTTATGTGAATCATATCAGTCGANTCGTTGGCTGATCTCAATTTCTTGTCTTCATCATTTTGATACGAAAAATTCCGAACGAAATCGTGACGAATGACGATCTCGGCGACGTGTTGAGAACAATTCTGATTTTGTAAAGCTTTTAATGTTCGTTTCTCTTAGCCACTTCTTGCTTTTATTTGATAATTAACACCACATTCCCTTCTCGCCTAACACCTTCTTCACCTAACGCTTCGCCATCTAACACTGCTTTGCGGCTTCCTATGGCAATTTCACTCGCGAATGTTTACGTCTCATCGTCATTTGTGCATTTCAGTCGGATTATGTGCTTTTGTGAGAAGCGATAATCCCTAAGCGAATGATAAGGCTAAGGGATGCTACGCAATATTTACAAACCTCTATTTCAGTAGCGTTCAATACAACAACTGCATCAACACCTACTGTTCCGAACATCATCATGTCTTCAATCTTCATTGCTGGTACGTATTTCTTATGATCTTATATTGGAGTCAACGCATATTTCTAATCGCAAGCAAGACTTCCCGGTTATTGCTGCCCTGTAGGTAGCTCATCTCATAGGAATGACTGAGATCGTTATGAGAACGTTTCGAAGAAACGATAACTGGAAAATAAGTTTACTGGTATATGATTTTAAGTGATCATGTGGTGGGTCCGCAGCGTTTACGTAATATTAACCTTTTAAGTTCTTTGCAAACTTACAGGCTTACTTCTGTTGTTCGCATTCTTGACATGTGTTGTATGTGGTATACTGATTGCACGACGCAAAAATCAAACAACGAAAAACTATCGCAAAAAACGATCGAATATGTTGGTGACGAGTGTTGGGCAAAAAGGCATATCCACTGATCTCTATTCAGCGCACGGGAACGACTTCCAGTTCCAGAAGGGAGCACTCTTTCTGGATAACGACAAGAAATGGTATTATTATTGCTTGAAGGGTTTTGTTGATATCCGTTCTGTGATAAAACTGCTTGATCATCGATTCTTTGAGTGTTGAGCACGCGAAAGAGAAACATTTGTTCAAGCATGCCTAAATGTTTCGAGATTGTTATGTGATGCAGTTACGAATCTGCTCGAACTGGTCAACTCGCATGACCTGTCAAACCTTTTGTTGGAATTTCTTCATCGTTTTCAGGCAACCGACAACCTGGGGTGGAAACAATCTAAAATCGCCGTCTTGGTCAAACTTTCATTTTCCGCCACCTCCATCCGGTATGTNTGTATGTTTGTATCTGGCTGAGCTTTCTTTCTCAAGTTACCATTCAGCATGAACAGTTTATGGATTATTTCTGAATCAACATTTACTTGCGGTCCGATCTTTGCGTTTCGTTCGCTTAATAAATCTATTATGATACAACAACTCACCTAATTTGGTTTATTGTAATTGAAGCGATGTTTTGAAGAGTGTCGAATTCAGAGTTCGGAAGGGAAACACTGTTTTCGATGTTTACCGAGAAAACGAATCTTAAGCGTCACTCGGCTCCCGTCGGTGGCCACCGATCAAACTCTAATTGGTATAGCGCATATTATGGAAATATGAGGCGTTTTTTGTATTTTGCAGAAATGTACGGCGTTGATGAATCTTCTGCAGAACCTTTGCTAGGACGAATGACAACGCCGACTCTCGTCCCAACTGCACCATCTCCACGACGAAATCACGTTGATCGCACTTGGCCTAAAAAGTATGTTCAGATCTCGAATATGCTTCTCGATTCCTTATGTGAACTTTTGCTGCGTTCAATTCGGATCGCTTATGGATGACTTGATGCATTTGAATGCGGTGAATCAATGAGAAATTCCGGGTGTTTTGATCTTCTGAATACACTGTAAAGAAGCCATAAACGAATTCACTGTTGAATTATTAGTCTCCATATTCTGCTCATCAATGACGAGTAGCTTTCCAATGGCAAATTTATTTCGTTTCATTCTCTGACAGTTTGCTTTGAACATATTTGGGCAGATAATCCGCACTTCCACGACTAGACGAATGTTTTCAGGCGACTTCTCGATGACAATCTGCATTACGCCACTTCGAACGTTACGGAATCAGCTAAAAGGTCAGTGTATCACTACTATTACAGAAATTGAAGCAATCTGTTGTACTTAAAACACTTATCAGTTCGTGATAGCAGGCGTTTTTTGAGTCTTTGCCGTAAACTTCTGATTGACAACACCACTAACAAGAATCCGTTAAAGAAAAGGATTTTCTCGAGAAATCCAGGCATACTTACGAAAGATTCAGAGATTTTTTGAACTCCTCGTCCGATCGTGAGATTTTTTGCACTACAAACGTAACCTTTTGTAATACTGTTGACTTCTTTTTTTTTCAGTTACAAACCAATTCCAGTGGAGAAAATTGACTCGCGCTCGGTTCTGCTAGGTGCTGAACTTGGCGAAGGACGTTTTACCATTGTGAGGATTGCGAAACTTCGTGATAAAACTGTTGCGACAAAAATGATTAAGGAGACCACTCCACAGGCTAAGTTAGTTTCTTAGTTCGGTGAACTTTCATTATTAGTTTCTGAATTACAAACCTTCCTGAGAGAGGTGTGAAGTGATGTCTGCGTTTCTTTTTTTTGCTTTTTCATAGACATCCTAATCTACGTGCATACTTTAAGCATTAAACAGCTCGGATCCGTGCATTAAACACCTAATTTGCACTAAATACTTCCCATTTTAACCATCCAAGCTATATATGCTTGCTGCTGCATTTAGATCGTTGTGTTGCCATGCAAA